TATCCCAGAAATGTAAAGTTGAATTGGTATTTATAAATAAAACAATGTAACTTATTACATTAACAAGAACAAAAGAGGAAAGAATAATACGATTATCTAAATATATACAGAAAAAATTGAAAAACATCGACACCCTTTTATGCTAAAAACTCAGCAAACTAGGAGTAGGAGGATACATACAAAAAACTTATAATTGATATTATGCTTAATGCTGAATGCTTTCCCTCAAAGATAGAGAATAAGGCAAGGATTTTGGTTTTACCACTTCTATACACCACTGCACTGCAGTCACAGCAGTAAGAAAAAGAAATAAAAAGTGTAGAGACTAGAAAAGAAGTAAAACCATTATTATTCTCAATGACAGAAAGAACTCTAAGAAGCTTACTTAAGAATAAAAACTACTAAAACTTTTAAATAAAGTTATCCAGGTGGCAGGATACAAGGATAATATAAAATTCAATTGCATTCCTATATACCAAGAACAAACAATTGGAAAGTGAAAATAATAAACAATACTAAAGTATTAACTCAATGAGGACAGGAAAGTCTTTTTCTGTGTAGGAAAAAAAAAAAATGAATCTTAACTCCTACCTCACACCATACAACAATTTGAGATGGATCATAGAACTAAATGTAAAAGCAAGAACCAGAAAGCTTCTATATATATATATATATATATATATATATATATATATGGGTATATATATTCACAACCTGGACAAGACACAAAAAGCACTAACCATTAAAGGAAAAAAACTGAAAAATTGTAAATCACCAAAATTAAAACACTCTGTTCACCAAAGCCATCATTAAAAATATTTAGGAAAATCACAGAGTGAAGAAAAATATTTGCAGTACATAAACCTGATAAAGGGCCCTTATTGTTAGGAATTACAAGACAATTTATAGAGAATTACTACAAATCAACAAGTAGGAAATTAAACAACCCCATTAAAGGACTTGCATCGGCACTCCTCACCTCAAAAGATCTAAGAATGGGCAATAACCACAGGAAAAGGTGTGCAACATTATTAGTTAGCAAAAAAATGCAAAATTAAAACCATAATGAGAAATCTTTTCACACCCATACGAATGGCTAAAATATAAAAATTTAAAAATCTAATATACCAAATGTTTGATGGAATGGAGAAAACCTAAAATACTCACATATTTCTGTTGGGGATTATAAAATGGAACAACTACCAGGAAAATTCTTGGGAAGTTTCTTATAAAATTATTTATTCATCTACTCATGACCCAACAATTCCACTCTTTTGTATCTCTATGAAAATATATGTCCATAAAAAGATGCAAATGTGAGTATTGACAGCATATTCACTGAAAATAGCAAACAGCAGGAAACAACACAAATATCAATCAATAGGAAAATGGATAAACAAATTATATTATATTGATCCAAGATAATACTTCTCAGCAAAAAAGGAACAATATGAGTGAATCCCAAAAACATTATGTTGAGTGAAAGAAGTCAGACACTGACATACATAAAACAAACACACATTGTAGGATTCCATGTACATAAAGTCTAAGAATAGACAATCCTAATCTATGGTGATAATAATCAGAAGTTGCCTCTTAGGTGGGACCGGGTAGAGTTGATTGGAAAAAGGCGTGAAGCAACTTTCTGGGTTGATAATGTTTTAATATCTTGCTTTGAGTGCTGGTTACACTTACATATACAAATGGTCAAAATTAACTAAATTTTGTTTTATTCTTCCATTAGGGAGAAAAAAAGGTTTCACCAGGAAAACATTAAAAAAAAAAAAAAGCTTTGTGCAACTAGCATATAACTAGTAGAAAGAAGAAAACTTGGTGTATCAATAGACTTACCTAAATTTTTTTCAATGACATTATTTTTTTCAAGTATTTTTAAGTACTTTTTCAAGTTTCAAAGTAATTTTATTTTCAAGTATAAATAAATATACCCAGCCTTGTGAATTCATCTAAACAGAGAAACTCAGGCTTGTGGATCAATATACTGGAGAGAAACCAGTAACATAAAAATATTTCAGTCTCTGTGAATAGAAAATAGAATGCTTCGCAATCTGGAGAATTTTAAGACATGAAAGAGCCCAAAGAAGCAAAGGTAAAAAGATCAAACACAAGATGCAGAACTAACAGCTGTGACTTAGTGAGTTGAATATGCTGAATAGAATCAAACTTAACAAAGCACCACAAGTTGGTAGCTTCCAAGTAATTAATACACTAATCAGAAGCACATGCAATGTGTAATCAGGACTACCTCATTGTGACAGCAAGGACTCCTTGGTTACAACGGATATTCTCCATTTGCAGGTAGAGTTATGGAAAGTAAATTAGGTAAAGGCATGCTTGAGGCAAAGAGGAAGTAACACAATTTGCTCTAAGCAGTCTCTATTTGTGGTGAATGAGATGAAAGTTCCATTTTCATCTCACATCTGTTCTAGATCATTCTTCTCACAGTAAGACTGAACATATCTGCTAATACTTGGGCAAATATATGTAAATTCATAGATAAGAGTTGTACTTATACTTTTCTTTCCAAGGCTCATCCCCAGTTTTAAGAGTGAAACGATCATTTCATCCATGTTACTAATGTCTAATTAGTAAATGAAAAAAAATGTTTGAATACCACAAATCAATCTAACTTCACATTTCTTGCATTTCTACATAAAGCCAGAATTAGCAGACACTTTAGAAGATTAAACCTGTGATCAAAATATGGGCTTACATAAGCTAACCAATAATTATCTTTTCTTTGGAATAGTTAGCTCTTGACAATGCTTCATCCCTGACAGACCTGTTACTTGTAAGAACACACCAGAGAGTCCACTATTTTATCCATCTAGCTGTCCGCCATCCACACCCTCTAGTCTCTTACCCTTTTCTTGAAATCACATATCCTACTTATATTCCCTGTAATTACTTCTACTTAAATTTTCCATTACCTGTTCTTTACTGAGAATAGGGAGCCTAGAAGATCAGAACTCATAAGAAGAAATAGCTAAAGCACCAAAGTCTCTGAGGTGAAAGGAACAGTAGTCCAACTGAGGTCATATTCTTTCCCAACTATACACCTTAGCTGCTACTGTTCTGTTACATACATACTTCAGGCTGCACTGGCTCAAATTTAAATACCATCACCTTAGTTTCCCGACTTTCTCACTTCATATTTTTCCTTCCTAAATCATTGTAACATCTAAAAAGGGAAGGTGGAATCAGTTGCTTCATAAACCCATTTATTAATGGACAGAATCAAGGAATCAAGTCAAAATGGAATTTCTGGCTACTGCTACTATTTTTTCAATTAACCAAAATAAAATAGAGTAGAGAATACAAAGAAGAATTTATGGAGTAAGCTCCCTTAGAGTTGATTAGATTACAAATATGTAGAAAGAAAATCTGCTTTTTATCCATTAAATCACTAAATTCATTTATATTAATTTATGTTGATATAAAAATAAATGTGTTTAGTAATGGATATCATTAACTTATGCATAAGATAATCTCCTACCCAAGTAATTAAAAATGCTGAAAATGTAATGGCTGCACAGTAACACCAGAAACACCTTCATATAATGAGAGACCCAGGGAAGATAAATGTGACATTTAGCCTCTAAATCTGGCTTTAGTGAAGTTTATTTTTTGAACCAAATGAATTAGATCAAATTTTTCTGGGAAAAAAAAAAAAAAAGAAGGGATCTTTGAAGACATTTCCTTCTCCACATAGTTGGATACTGTGTGAAATGTTACCTTGCCTAAATGAACCTGTAAGTTCCATTCTCATAAAGATATTGTACAACCAAGAAAAGGAGGAGACAACTCTTTCATTAAGAAAAAAGGAAAAGGAACTTTGAATCAGTTGCACAATTTTGCCTCTCTGGAGTGTCAATATCCTTATCCATAACACTATAATATTACATTCCCTTGAAATTAATGAAGGTTAAATGAAACAGTTTATGTGAAAGTGTTCTATAAACTACAGGGAATATGTGAAGTTAAAATGCCATTTTATTCATGAGGATGATTATAATGAAAATAAACTAAAATCATATTGAAGAAGGTAGATATTAAGCAAATCATTGCTCATTTAGACCAAAACAGTCTTAAAAAGAGACATTTGTCTTACAAATTGGCTCAAAGAATTTGTTCATACTATATATCTAAGTAGATGGTGAATGGCATTGATTGGATCCAAAGTCCCCCTCTCTTGGATTTTATGAGGCCCATTCAGAATGAGCCAGGTTGAGAACACCACCAATTCCATGTTCTGAGTCCATCTGTTGGCAAAAATGTAATGCAAACAGCTTTATAAGTGCTATTTTCAATGAAATATCACAGAACAGCTTGTCCCAATGATATTTCTAAAGCTTGCCTGCAAACCGCCTACTGGGAAATCCAACTGAAAGAGAAGAGGGAAGAGAAAGAAACCCATACATACAAGTGACAAAAATTGAAAAAAAGAACAAAAGATGGAGGGAGACAAGCTAGAGGAAAGTGAGCACTGGAGAAAAATAAGGAGCAATGAGAGGTGCAATATTAAACACAGGCAAAATTAGTTGGAAACCATAAGGAATAGAGAATTTTTAAAAAATTATCAAAACAACTTGGGTTGGAAGATAGAGAAGTGATCACAAATAATTTGGCATGTCCAGCAAAGTGAAGATAAAAGGAGCAGGAAAACCCAGAAAACATGTAATAGCTAAGTAATTGGAGGATAATTATTAAAATGTGAGAGGAAAATGATGTAAAATAGCCATTTTTCTAAGTTTCACTTTTTTTCCTGTAATATACAAATTCATTATTCCAAAAATAATATAGATTTCAATGTGTATCATTAACTTCAAGGAAGCAAACATCCTCCTCCAAGTCCCTTCTTTTAATCTAAAAATGTACTCACATAGGACAAAAGAGACCAGGCATTACAATATAAGTAGTATACATGCAATGATTAAAAAACAAAATATTTTACTGTAGATGATGTCATTCTGGGCACTTACCTGGGGTCGAATAACTTTAACAATATTTTTGAGGGCAGTGTCAGGGGATGGAGGTGAGCAGTCAGGTGTTGGGCCTGTTGAGCTGTTTCTATGGTTACTACTTCCTGGAGCAGTAATTGCTACCTCAGATGCATTATCTGTGAATAAAAATAGAACTGCCATAAACCTAATCACTCAGTTTACCATTTAAGACTTGAAATTATTTTAGTGAACATGAATTGAGTTTTTAACTTAAAACTAGTATCAATTATAAGATCATAATGAGGAATATGCACAGCAGTATATTTTAAAGATAATGTTTATTGAATGCTTTGCTTTCCTTTGGAATGGTAAATATCATACCCAGTAGTATTATTCCAAGAAGAGTATTATTATACAATTCACAATGATAGATCACCCAACACAGCTATTAAGACTGTCATTATTATACAAATGGCCAAAACTTCAGCTTACCTAAGAAGAATATGATTTTTTTAATATGAATGGGCTTAGTTTTCCCCATCATCTCTCAAATGGTTATTGATCTTTTTAAAGTGGAAGTTTTGCATCTCCCTGAGGTATAAAATCCAAATTCAAGCCTCCTCAAACCACATTCCCCAGAAGTCCCTCAAACTATTGAGAGGCATCCCAGTGAATTAACCTGAGGAAACATTGACATTTGTGCACAATAGTTTTATAATGTAGACTGACACAAAACTATCACACCCAGATAAACACATCTTATACAAACTAAATCTCTTCCTTATGTTTAGTATTGAGAGTTGGAGGAGGAATAAAGGGATGACTTTAAAATCAGCAATGTGCATAAAACTTCTTAAATTTTTATCAAAACAAAATGACAAGAAAAGATGCAGTTTTAGAGTGTTTAACATACTTAGAAAAGGATGGAAAAACTCCATAAATAACTCTTGCTAGCACATAAAAGATATATTATCTTAACGACAATTTGGCAATCCTCTACAGCTTTGTATGGAAAACGTCGCAAGCTCAGATCTAAAAAACAAACAAAATTCCTTGTTTTTAATTAGTTCCCAATAATTTTCTGTCCTAGGCAGTTGAAATCGTGCAAAAGAGACTGAGACTGTGAATTCTTTATAGATTAGTAAGTTTTCTCTGTTCCATGGCCATTGTCTACAATCCCAAGTGAAAAGTAATAATTTATGAAGACACCTCTTGCTTACAAAAAGTGAAGGGATGAAAACTCTACCTACCATATAAAAACATAATTCTGTTATACTGGGCAGTCCAGACACAGGTTCATGAAACAACAACAACAACAACAAAAATACAAATATGACACACTGAATTAAATAGATTATTTATTAAAGTCCTAAAAGTACCAGAGCTCACTCTTGACTCAGGTTTAATGGATAAGGTTAGATTTGAATTAGCATCTCAAGAATACCCAGAGTTCTGAAAGACAGTAATTGGGTGGTCTTCTGTCTATAATAGAATTAGTATGAGTAAATACTGAAGCAGAGATTAAAATATCAGTCAACAAGACAATGAAAAGTAGCCCTGATCCTCTCCAACTTGTACCTTTCTTTCATTCATTCAACCATACATCTTAAAACATTTTAAGGGCTACTATATGTCAGGTATTATGTTATATTCTAGGGAAAAAAAGAACCTTTAGGCAGAGGGTAAAAGGTAGGGAAGGATGAACAGGTAGAGCACAGAGGACATGTAGGGCAGTAAAACTATTCTGTATGATACAATAGTGGTGGATACATTGTCATTATACATTTGTCCAAACCCATAGAAAGTACAGCATCAAAAGTGAACCCTAGGATCATTTATATGGACATTGGATGATAATGGTGGGTCAACGTAGGGTCACTGATTGTAACAAGTGTACCACTATAGTGGGTAATGTTGATAGTGGGGAAAGCTGTGCCTGTGAGGGGACAGGGTACAAGAGAAACCTCTATACCTTCTGCTTGATTTTTCTGGGAACCTAAAGCTTCTTTAAAAAATGAAGTTTAATAAAATTTTAAAAATCCATGTTCTTAAGAAGTATACAGTCACTTGTGACATCAGACATGTAGAAAAAGTGTAATGTAATATAATTTGAGACCTGATAACAGATAAAGGAAGCATGATGAGACAGTGAGAGGAAGAGCAATCACCAGACCGTGGCTATGAAAGAAGAGAGCTGTGAAAGGCTTCCATTTTCAGGCAAGAAAGGTGAGATGGAATATAAAACATAAGGAAGGGCATGGAGGTGAAAAGAGCATAGACAAAGCCATTATTTTATGTTAGGAAAAAGTTGGAGATAAGTTAAAATAAGTACAAGGGAGTTTTATTAGTGTATTAGTTTATATTTAATTTGTAGGCAATGAGAAATATTGAGGATATTTAAGCAAGAAGTGACATAATAATAGTAGCTAATGTTTATGGAACTCCAGTGAAATAATGTTAGAGACTTTGTTCTCTTTCTTTATTCTCTCTTTTGTAGTTCTCATTGTTGTCTCTCTGTGTTGTATTCTGAGTAGCTTTTTCATACTCACTTTCCAGTTTATTGGCTCTTTCCTCAGCAGTGTCTAGTCTACTATCAAATCATTTTCATAATTTCACTTACACTTGACAATTCTAAAATTTCTATTTGGTTCTTTTTCAAATATACGATGTCACCATTTGGCGTTTTTTCAGTTTTTTAGCAATTTCAAGCTTGCTTTTATTTAGTAGAAAATAACAAACATAGTTTTTGGTTTTTTAAAATCTGTGCCTGATAATTCCAATATCTGAAGTCTTCATGAGTCTGTTTCTGTGTCTGACTCTCATTCACAGTATTTTGTTCCATTACCTTTCTCATCTTCAGTTCTGTGCTACTTGTTACTCAACTTTTGTTAGCACAAGATATACAACATTAAACTTAATTCTTTGTCTGTTAGTACATATTAATTCAAAAAAGCATCCAAATTACATTCTAACACCAGATGCTGAAGTCTGTGGACAACTTGCCTGCTCAATGTTAGACAATTTATTTAACCTCTCTGGACATCAGTTTTTTAACTTTAAAAATGAGAATGATCAATAATTGTCTAGAAGAAAGTTACTGTTTATGTGTGTGAATAAAATGAGAGAATATATATGAAAAATATCTAGCATATTAACAGGTACATAATATGGGTTTTATTTTTCCCTATAAACCAAATATCCTCAGAATTAAAATAAAACATAGAAGAGGAAAGAAAAGCCAGAGGGAAAAACAGAACAAAATAATAATAATAATAATAATAATAATAATAATAATACTTTGCAGATAATACATCTAGAGTAAAGACTGTGTGTACTTGGATAGTATTTGATAAAAGTATCTTTTGGCTATTAACACAAACTGGTAGAGATAGAATTTAATTCCAGGAATAAGAGATGATCCCCTGAGGAATGATTCACTGCAAGGGCTGGCCCTGTTGACTACCTTTGCATCAAAGTCAGAAAAACTGAGGGTTACTTTATGCAGACTGTAAGGCAAATGCCTTTTGAATGTTTCTTATATGTAATTTAATACATAGTACAGGACAGTGGGTAATCAAGTACTAAATTATTTAGAAAATATTATAACTGTCTCCATCTTCTGAATCCATGATCTGTATCATTACACTGATAATTTAATTTTATACTACCTTGCATTGTTCATTATCTCTTCCAGACTAGGTTATATTTTTGCAGACACTTTTATTTCCCTTATCCCCTTCATAGCTCTTAGCTCAATGCCTTTAAAAATACTAAATGAAATAAAGTGAATAAAGCAAAACCCGTTTGCCAGTGGTAACCATCAAAAATGCCCTTAATTACATGGAGAAAAGTGATCTGGTTTTTGTAATTCTATGGTCCCTTTTGGAGAAAATCCAAATGAGAAGCATATTTTAAATATCTTTTATTCTATTATTTATGAAAATACCAATTATCCAGTGAATTTGTGAAACGACAATCTGTGTTCAAGACAGTTTTACATGGTCAACCTACATTTTACACCTGCAGCTACAAAACATTGTTGATGAAAAAGGACATGAGGTGGGCAAAAGCTGCTTAAGAGAAAATTACTAAATATACTTGCAATTTCAGACTGAAATGAGACTTATCTTCTAGTCAGCTTCTCTTACTACACATTAAATTATGCATTATGACTGTCCATTTCCTCTAAAATAACAAGCTAAGAAAAAAATCTTCTAGCTTACTTGAGCTTTTAAAAGAAAAGTATTCTATGAATACAAAATAATTCATATGCAATGTTACAGAGTAGAATTTTAACATCCTTTACTAGCATGTACTGAACAGCTAAAGTGCACCAGAGACCATGCTAATTCCTATATAGCTGACAAGTAGAACTGAGATTACTTCTGGCTGGGGACTCAAGAAAAGTGTCAAGGCAGAGGTGGTGACTAAGCAGGTCTCTGACAGATTAGTAAGATTCATACATGAAAAAATGAGTGGGAAGGGCATTCCAAGAGTTGAAGGTATGATCAGCAAAAGATAGAGAGATGGAAAAGAATTGGGCACAATTGTGGGATAAAGAAGAGTTCAGTTTGAATAGGATATTCATGGAGGAAATACCAAGCACTGGATGGATCATAAACAACAAACCTTAGATTTGAAACCAGACAAACCTAATCTGAAATCCTGCCATACTGTTTTAAATTGAAGCCGAGCTGACATACAATATCTTATCAGTTTTAGGTGTACATTGAAGTGATTTGATATTTCTACATATTATGAGATGATCCTCACAGTAAGTTTATTTCTGAATTCTCACCATACATTGTTATCAATTCATCTATAGACTTACACTTATTGTAAATAATGCTACAATGAAGGGAGAGGTGCATATATTTTCATTCTCTTTGTACCATATCCTAAGTGGAATTGCTGGATTGCATGATAGTTCTATTTTTAATTCTTTGAGGAACCTCCCTACCATTTTCCATAGTGGCTACACAAGTTGACATTCCCACCAGCAGTGCACAAGTTTTCTCCTTGCCTTCACTTCAGTCTGTGTGTGCCTTAAGATCTGAAGCGATTTCTTACAGGCAGCATAGAGATGGGTCTTGTTTGTTTGTTTAACCATTCAGCCATCCTATGTCTTTTGATGGGAGCATTTAGTCCATTTACATTTAAAGTATTTACTGATATG